TGACTTGAAGAAGCACAGCGATCAGGGGAAAGGCATACAGATGCACACTGGGCCATTCATGGGCTAGCACGTCCTGTTCCTTTGAGAACAATATTGGGCAATGAGAGTTGTTTTTTGAGGCGAAGAGGTCGACCTCTGCCTTCCCAAAGACTTCACAGATCATTTGAGCCATCTCGGGATGGAGTCTCCATTCCTCCAGAGACACGCCACCTCGGGACAACATGTCCACTCACTGGTTCAACCTGCCCGGTATGCCATGCCCCTTTTAGACTAACAGGAAGGTTCTGAGAGCCAGAAAAACCGGCATTATTTCCAGGCAGTTGATCAGCGTTGCTCCAGGTTGGACCAGGAGCCAAACACTGGCCTACTCTCGCACAGTGCTCCCCAACCCGAGCTGGAAGCATCTCTTGTGACTACCTTCCTGCTGGAGACCAGTCCCAACTGAGAACCTGTCTGATACAGCTGAGGGACCTTCCAAGGGGCCACAGGCCTGACACAGCTGCAGGTTACCCTGAGGTGATACTCCCCAGACACTAATCATGGGATGGAATGCAGGCTTTCAGCCAATATTGAAGGGGCCGCATGTGGAGCAGGCCCATCGGAACCATAGAGGAGGTGGCTGCCATCAGGCCAAGGATTCTCTGGAATGTCCCGAGGGGAAGAGAGACCCATACTTTGAATGATGCAGCAAGCCTCTGAATGTTCAAAGAGTGTTTCAGTGTGATTTGGGCAGAGTCAAGAACTGCTCCCAGGAAAGCGATTCACTGGCTTGGAGATAGGGAGCTCATGGCTGAATTGATCCTGAGCCCCAGCCATTTCATGTGACTGAGAAGCAGAAAATCTGTGGGCATGGAGCTTGTGCTCTGACCAGGCCCAAACAAGCCAGACGTTGAGTTCATGATACGCATTCCCTTTTGTCTTAGAGGGGAGAGTGCCGCAGTCATGCACTTTGTTAAGTTGCGCAGTGCCAGAGACAGTCCAAATGGAAGGACTGTTTATTGGTAAGTCACCACCCCCCCCCCTCCCAAACACAAATCTCAAGAATGGTCTGTGGTGAGGGGCTATCTGGATATGAAAGTAAGCATCCATCTAGGCAAACCTGTGAGAGGATCTGTTTCAAAGTCAACATCCTGAACGGTCGCTTCATTCAGATCGAGAATGAGCCTGAGGCCACCGTCCTTCTTTGGAACGAGGAAGTAGCAGACCATGGCCGGACCGTTTCTATAGCACCCTTTACCAGCAGACACTCAACTTCAGATTTGAGAATGTGAGCATTGTTGCCCTGCGCCAAAGTTTGGATCACACACTTGAAGCGAGGAAGTATGTTTGCAAGCATACCTTCCCAAGCAAAACATGAAAAACATGAAAACACAAACGCATGCTATGAAGCACTGTCAAGAGCATGCCTAACCAACAGGTGGCGATATAATCTCAACCGTAAAGCCATGTTGGCCAATCAGAAGCCTGAAAAAGTTTCCAGTAGGTGGAGATAACAGCGCAGGCTCCGACGTCACAAGTGTGTGGACCTTCCCAAGCAAAACATACCTTCCCAAGCCTGACCTGGGCAGCGGGGGGTCTGAGCCTTTCCAGTGGTAGATCGTATAAGTATCGCTTTTTATTTCTCCTCTTTCCTACTACTTGTTTCACTTCTGTTTCAGTTTTTATAACCATTTCTTACTATGTGTAAGTAAGTTGTTTATGTATGTGTGTGTGTGTGGTTGTACATACACATATATGTAGTTGTTTTTTTGGTGTTTGGCTTAGTGTTATGTTAGAATCATTATTATACTCTTATACCTTTTGTTCTTTACTATTTTGAATTGTTTTTAGCTTTATTTTTTTGTTTTTCATTTAAATGTTACGTTTTGAGATTTTGTTGTATGCATTTGTCATTTTTATTTAATTTATTTATTTTTAAAATGTAAGTAAGTACTATTTATAAAGTTTTAGCTTTTAGTTTTGTATCTGTTTTTAGTTGTTTTAATACTACAATTGATTGCTTCTGTTGTCCTCATTTGTAAGTCGCTTTGGATAAAAGCGTCTGCTAAATGACTAAATAAATACATAAATAAAAATAGATCACTGCACAAAAGCAGGGGACTGACACTCATTCGATTGTAAAGAGGAGAAGTGCCCTTTTTTGTTATTCGGTCCGCTGTAGTCTCGCGTAGCCAGACCTTCAGGCTGACGGCAGAAAGTCTGGGAACCTTGGCCGCTTTGAATGGCCTAGGACCACACAAGAGGCCATATGACTGACAGGTAAAGCAACCAATCATGTTTTGCTTTGTGCCACATCATGTTTAGGGGCGTGGAAATGTCTCCACAATAACAGACCGGTGTGTAAAACTCTTGGACATATATTAAAGAGTCTATGCTGCGAACATTACATATTTCACATATGAAAATCCATTGCTTAGTTGATCCTGATAAGACTTGTCGAGGAAGGCTGTTTGTCTGCATCCTTCTCTCTGTTAAGTCAGAGGTGGTACTTGAGGTGATGCTCTGCCAATTGTCTGGGCTGTTGTCTTTGTAGCGCGCAGGGCCAGGTATGTTGTGGGGTCTGGGCCAGACTCATCCATGGAGCGGAGGGCCAAGGAAGTCCTGCAGGGATCATGGGGTGAACAGCCTTGGCTTTCCATTCCAGGGCCATGGGTGGGCAGAGATGCGCAGCGACGACTTCTTCAAGGTGAGGAAGCTTCTTGTAACCTCTTTGCTTTGCACCGTCAATGGAGGTGAAGGCAGAGAAGGCAGAAAAATAAATGCGGACCAAGTAAGGAGCACGACACAACTTGGTAAGTTCTTCATGAACTTCTGGAAAGAATGGTGCAGGTCTCTGGCCGGGGGCTCGCTGGCGGTGCCCTGGCAGGAACCATTCATTGAGGTGGCTGTGGGCGGGCTCTTCTGGGGCTGACCACTTTAAGTTGAGCTCTTCAAAGGAATGAATGATCCTTTGATCTGGTTCTCTGGGCAGAAGAGGCCGGGGGACTCCATGGAGCAAGACAATTCCTCCGCATCAGAAGCCGCTGATGACATGGAGTCATCGACAACGTCTTCCTTGGATCCTCTAAAAGAGACCAGACTGCTTGTCCTGACGAGGGGCACTGATCTTCACAGGAGAAGAGAACCAGGAAATCCTCTCCCTGCAGGTAGAGTGAGGCATGCAGGATCTGTGCTGGCGTGAATTCACTTGGACCCTTCTGCTGAGCCCTCTGACTCTGTTTTGTTTCCTGGGAGGAAGGAAATGGGAGAGCATAAGGGGCAGGGCTGCTTTCCTGAAAGTTAGCAATCCGCGAGTGCAGCGAGGCAAGTCTCATGCTCTCACAACGAGAACAGTCCATCCCGGTGAGTGCTGCTTCAGAGTAGAAGCAGCCCAGATGAGCGACACACTCACTGTGCTCATTCAAGGCATGCAGGGGTGCCCTGCAGGTGCCATGCTCGTGGCATGACATTTCGCAACGAATTGCTCTTAAGCTTCACAAGATGGCCGCAGGGGAGAAGCTCTGATCAGCTGAAGCATTTTTCCGCTGTCAGGGCTCTTCTACAGTGAGTAGTAGGCTACTTCTTTCTTAGTTCAGCGTCTTCGTGCTGAAAGAGAACATTTTTGATGAAATGGCATTGAGCACTGACTTATATAGGCAGATGGTTCCGACCACTGAAATGCCATCTGTTTGTGCAGCTACATGAACATTATCCAATAAGGCTTAAGTATTTTGGAGAAACTGAGTTTGCCCAAGTGTCAGCAACTGACGCAATGTGAATGAACCGAATCGATAAAGGAACCAAACCTATCAAAAACCAAAACCAATAAAAAAGGCCAATCATTCTCTAGTCTCCCAATTGCTTCTGCTAAGATTATTCACAGTATACACAGGATTTGCAGTGAACAACAACTGAAACATCCAAGACAATTGCAAAAACAATATTATTTGAACACATTATGGCAAAAAAAAAAAACACGGACTGTAACATCGAGGTCTTAATAGTCCTCTCAGTGCTGCAGAACCTTTTCACTACTTGTATTACTTTGAGAAGAATATGGAGGCCCAAACCTTCAGAAATTAAACATAAAAACATAAATAATGTATAAATATTGTATTTATAAAACAAACAGAAATACAAATACAACAAATTCGATTTTTTTATTAAATATTTATTCATTATTAATAATTAATAATGTTTGGTTTAATATGTATTAAAAACATTCCATACAGAACATAACAGTTTGTGTGTGTGTGTGTATGAAGACTTCAGACTCTTAAGTGCTGTCTGAAATGTTCTTCTAAAATTATCATTTTTATCAGGCTCCTATGTTTAGGTTCAGCGATTTCTGTTTAATGGCAATAAACAGGTCCTTTTCATTGCCATTAAAGTAAACGTGCATTAGTAATATTTTCCTCAATGCGCCCTCTTGTGGCCTCAGGAGAGAAGCCAAAAGCTTTTCTTCGCCCTAACTGAAATTATGCATTTTAAATTCGAATATAATTCTAATTTTGACAAAATTCGAATTTAGTTTTTCAGCCATTTAGACAGCCCTAATTTGTACAGTAATCGAATTACACGGTTGAAGATGTAATTAGTAACTAGTAATTACTTTTTTAGAGTAACTTACCCAACACTGATTGTGAATATCGACTAAAATGTTGGTCTGAAATCATATAGCTTTCAATAGACTTCAATGGCTTTTTTCTTAAAAACCCACGATGTATGGACTACTTTTATTTAAAGGGGTCATATGATGTTGCTAATAGGGCTGTCGCGGTGAGGGAATTTCCCTTGCGGTAATTTTGAGTAGCTCAATAGCGTGGTATGCGGTATTATCGCTATACACACACACACACACACACACACACACACACACATAATATAATCAGACAGATAATACAGCCAGATTCCACAAATTATTTTGTGTTTGGGCTCTGCTCACTTTAAACCCTGACGTGACGTCATTTTACGCCACGGGAACTGCTTGGATCCCAAACAGTCCCACCTCCGCTGGCTCGAGCTCTGATTGACAATAATGGCGACGCGTTCGCCTTCAGTTGCACCTCTATGAGACATTTCTCAAGAAATTCTCAAGCATTTTCACCAATTCTTTGATATTACTTGGGCTTAAAGGTCGGCTTTAAGGATATATTTCAGAAATTATCTCCGAATCTTTTTTGGCAAGGAAATATTAAGTTCTGCTGGTGGAATTCTTGGGAAAGCACTAACAAAGGTCTCCTCATCCGTGGCGATGTGGCTGCTGTTTTCAGATCCGTGCGTGCATTTGTTTCGGGCATGAAGAACTGCGGTTACTTAATCTACAGCCATTCATTCAGACATTACGCTGTCACTTATTAAAAAACGGGACGCTTTGCTGAAAGTGGTTTAGTTGCACTGGAAGCTGGAGCTGATTGTTGCAGAAGCTTTTCGCGTAACGTTACAGCAGCTCTTAAAGACATTGTGAATCGCGTCGCGCGAAGTTGGACCATCTGTTGAACGCTTGCGAACACATAGCAAAGTTCGCAAAAAAAATTTATATCTCACGATAAAAGCGACGGTTGTTTTTTCTAAACCGAAAGTTTTTATAGGAATTTTGCTATCGTCAAGTAACAGCCTAGAACTTTAGGTAGGTTAGCTATAGCTGGTTAGCCTAGACCAGCTAACGTTAACTGGCCTTTTCTAAAAGCAGCCGTTAGAGACTTAAATAAACACTTTGCCAAATTTACCACAACATTGTGTCCAGAATAAATTAAATTACAACGTAAATTTGCTAACTCGACTCCGTAAGAGATATTTCACGAAAACGACGTGCACATTAATTTTATTTGTCGCTAACTTAAGCAATTCTGAATACTTCACAGTTAAATTCTGTCGTTAGGATATCAATATACAATTAATTGTATGACTTAAGAAAACCAGGTCATCCCTTTACTTGTCCATACCGCTAAATTACCCTCCTTCACTTGCCATTGGCCCAGATGTAAGACGGGAGGAATCAGTAAATTTAAAACCTCACGTTTTCTGAGCTGGTTTAACGGCTAGCTAAAAGTAACGTTAACTTATATTGCAATATTTGCTCTTAAATGACCACCGGTAGGAATAACAGAGTCATGATGGAGGGAGTGGGTGCTCGAGTTATCCGCGGGCCTGACTGGAAGTGGGGTAAACAAGACGGAGGAGAAGGGCACGTCGGCACTGTCAGGAGTTTTGAGAGCCCGGAGGAGGTGGTGGTTGTGTGGGATAACGGCACCGCCGCCAATTACCGCAGCTCTGGAGCTTATGATGTGAGGATTCTAGACAGTGCGCCCACAGGTGAGACTCTTTCACCAAGTGTAAATTAGTGCTAATCCAGTGCATCTGTCACCTGGCCTAAACGAGACCGAACTTGTTTAGATTGAACATATACTGGTGATACTTTAAAATAGCTTTCATTAATTAACGTTATCTAAAAAAACAAAACATTTAGGTCTTGAGACTTTGATATATCTGTGTATATGTGTGTGTGTGTCTATATGTACATATAATAGAGCAAATATCATAGAGCAGTGGTTCCCAACCCTGGTCCTTGAGGCACCCCAACACTGCACGTTTTGCATGTCTCCTTAATCAAACACACCTGATTCAGACCATCATCAGCTCATTAGTAGAGACTTCAAGACCTGAAATTGGTGTGTCAGAGAAAGGAGACATGCAAAATGTGCAGTGTTGGGGTGCCTCCAGGACCAGGGTTGGGAACCCCTGTCATAGAGCAATCTGTAGTTGGCACACTGCGGGTGGAAGTCAGCTTCTGTGTCATATTACCTGCTGTATTCAGCATATTCTGCTGTAATTACCATGTTAAAGGAATCAAGCATGATGGCACCATGTGTGACACCTGTCGGCAGCAGCCCATCATTGGGATCCGATGGAAATGTGCGGAGTGCACCAACTATGACCTCTGCACAACCTGTTACCATGGTGATAAGCACCACCTGCGTCACAGGTTCTACCGCATCACCACTCCTGGTAGTGAGAGGTGAGTTTTCTCCGTGTGGTCTTGACACCTTGGCATTATTCCCTCTGTGGATGAGGTAGCTTATCTGGCCAGTTTCAGACCCAGCATGCAATGTTTTCTTCAGTTACAGACTGTTGTTGCCCAGCGACAGGTAGACTGTTCCACTGCCTGGAGTTCAGTGGGAATACCAGCCTTTAATAGTACAGAGCAGTTTGCATCATTGGTCAGCATGTCCATCAATGTGGGAGATTTCTGTCTAAATCAGAATCTAAATACAAGCTACTTTAGCTTTGAATTGCACGGTGCATGACTTCAAAGCTGGGCCACTGGTCTTGATTTGTTTGGTTTTTAAATTTATGGACATTGTAGTCTATCTGTCATGTCTACCTGGGACCAGTTGTACAAAAAAATTTAATTTCACAAAGAAAATGGGAAATCCTGTGCTTAGCTATCCAGGATCTTCTTTCTTGTGTGTGTGTGTGTGTGTGTTTTCTCTCAAAGCAACATTGATTATTTATATGGGCAAAAACATTTTTCTTTACTGTACTTAAAGGCTTAATAGATAGCCTACTTTATCTATGGTGTCTTATGACTATAACTGATAAATCAAGTGAAAAATATAAATGTGTATGATGCAAATGAAATCTGGTCTAATTTCTTTTGAACAACTGGACCCTAATTTCTTACATGCTTGTATGTTTTTTTTTTTTTTTTAGCATGTTCTTGTGTTTCCTCTTGCTCCAGTCAATTGAATTTATCAGTGATTTAATATTCTGCTTTGCTTCTAACTTGTTTGGTGGAGATGTATATAAACTAACTGGCCCGTTTTGGTGTGATGCACAAGTTACTCTATAATATTTACATACCAGCTGTTGTATAGCAATATTAAGCAATATAATTAGCTATTGACCTTAGTGCAGATAAATGACTGACATCCCAAATAGCCAGTCAAATTGCAGCTCAGGTAAGTCTTGTTGTTATCCACTGTTTTGTTTATCAAACTTGGTGAACTCTTTATTGTTAACTTAGTAAACATTATGATAAAAAGGTGTTGTTATGGCAGAGAGGCTAACTAATGGAGTTTCGTTTGAATAATGCAAGCGTTGGGTCAGACTTTGCGGTAGACCACATGAGCAAATAAACTTGGAAATTTTGAATAATCATCCAGAAGCAAAATATCTCCGTTTGCTCAAAGAAAGGAATAGTAGAATGCAGTATGGTGGATGTTTTTAGAAAGGGGAGTAGTTGGTTAAAACAGCACTTGTTTTTTTTTACATCGACCTTCGTTAATTTCACACTTCTGTCATTTGTTTTCTCTATTAAATACAGAGACTACATATATGCGGCCAAAGGTAACTTATTTTTTTAAAAAGCCCCCCCTTGAAATGCGGTGGGCATGGTAAAGTAATCACTGTTGTAAGGTCATTTGTGCTGTTCTGAATATCGACTTGGCAGTGGTCATAATATAAAATGGCTTGTTTCTCTCACCAAAGTATATGCGAAGATGCATCAAGAGATTCATTGAACTGTTTATAGGTTGCATGTCTGTCATGACGATAAAGCAGGAAATGTGTGCTGTTCTATTTCTGCTTAGATCTATGGTTAGTGTGGGTCTGACCAAAATATATTAGACTTTTTTTACTAGCTGCCAGTCAGATGTTGGCTATTTATATATTATTTATTAAAAAAAAGTCTAATACAGCTGGAATAGTTTTGTTTACCTACTTTCTTGCATGTAATATGAAAATGGAGCTGCTGTTTTGTTTTTAGACTTACAATCTATTCCTTTTTACTAGCTTGAGTAACGTATCCTTCACTGTCTCCATATGGTAAGGCTATTAAGAAGTCTAGCAGTTGTTGTAGACGTCGCTCGTGGCAGCCAACCATAACTGCCCTCAACATGAGCTCAAAGAAACAATAGGTCAGCTCAACAGCTGGTCTCCTTTCAACTAAGTGTGACTCTATTTCCCTCTTGAGAATGGTTAAAGTACAACACACAAAGACAGTGATGAAGTCGGACCTTTTTTGCTGGGTGTTTCCTTTGGCAGCTGCTGTCTCATGCTGTGGTTTCCAGCTGCTTTAGGGTGCATATGATCATTCTATGCACAAGACCAAATTATTTTATTTATTTTTATTTGTTTGCAAGTCTCTTTTGTATTTTAGAGATTTTTTTTAACTGAAGTTTGCAATTTCAAGCACAGTATGCATAACCTAAATATGTTTTGGGAATGTTATGTTTTGTATTGAGAAAACTCTGTGCAGTTAGTTAGGGGCACATAGAGAAGAACAATGATCACATGTCAGCAAAGCTGGAGGATCAGAAACGGTCTGCTGTGGTTCAGCATGGGGCAGCTTCCAGATGGGATACAAGCGTCTCTTCTAGAAACAAACAAAAAGTGATAAAAAAAATTATCCAGGATTATCTTTTTTTATCCTGCAGGTTTCAGGTTACATTCGAGATTAGAAGAAAATCGAGTTAAACAATATAAAATACAAACCTACAACGGCATCTTGTTTAAAGGGGTCCTACTATGCTCTTTTACAAAGTCTTGATTTTGTTTTGGGGGTGTACTAGAACAGGCTCTCATACTAGGTTGTTCGAAAAACACATTATTTTTTCACATATTTTACATTATTACAACACCTCTCTCCCCAGTCTGGCATGAACGGCTCGAATAGTTCCTGTATCAAATGAAGGCCCGCCTTCTGAAATACGAAATGTGCTGTGATTGGTTAGCTGGGCCAGTGTGTGTTGTGATTGGCAGCACTCGGCACCTGGTCGGGAAATGTCATGCCCCTTACCATAGCCGCCTGCGAGCTTCAGTGTAAATATTGTCAATATCAAATCAATTTGAGCGTGATTGTAACCACTCTAAGTTCGTCTGCCTTGGGAAAGCTAGCGTGTCTCCGACATTGTGATTACACTCGTTGCCTTCTCTAGTGCAGCTCAACCAGGTCTCGTCCCATTCGTCGATCTTTGTGATATCACAAATCCCGGAAAATGTGCGTTGTAGTCCAAACGAGTCGTTCGTTGTAGTTTTTGAAAAGTGATTTCTGTTAAATAAAATATCTCCTTTTGTATTGGACTTTGAACTTTGTAACTTTGCAGATCTTTTTTTATGCTCAAACAGCAACATTACAGACTAACTAAAGTTGAAAAAGTGAAAAAGCATAATAGGACCCCTTTTTAAGCATTGCACGAAGTTACATCTCCACCTCATATTTTGCAATAATTTTCATTATGTAGTTTTTTCCTTTTGTAAAGCTCTTATATTCCAAAGCATAACTTCTGAACTCGCTTTGATTGCTTTTGTCTTTGTAACATACTTTTATGTGTTTGCACAGAGTTCTTTTGGAATCTCGTCGCAAGTCAAAGAAGATCACTTCCCGGGGCATCTTTGCAGGAGGACGGGTGGTGCGAGGAGTGGATTGGCAGTGGGAGGATCAGGATGGCGGGAATGGAAGAAGAGGGAAGGTAGTGCCTCAACATGTTTGGTTATGCTTGATTTTCTTTACTCATCATTTATTAGATTAAAAACTTTCCCCAATTATGTAGATACAGCTATGTTATGCACTTTCTTGTTCACTGAAGCAAAATTAGATGGTGCCAAGGCATTATTATTTTATATTTATTCATTTAGCAAACAGCTGTATTCAAATCGACTTACATCAGGGATTAAAGTTTTACGTCTCTACGACGGATTTCCGTCAATTGGAAAAAAATGAGGGAAAAAGAAACATGTAGTGCATTGTTGTTGTTGTTCTGCCAGTGTGCTTAAAACAATGTAAATATATTTTTGGTAGCACAATCTGATAGGTAGCATTTTTCACTATCGATTTGTGCTACCTATCTTTTTAATGGGAGGTAGCACAATCTGAGCGGGTAGCACAAATCGTCAGAACACCAGCACACCAAAAATCATCCACGCCACGGCTGCAGCTTCTCAGTGACAACATAGTGATGCCGCTCGCATCATTCACAGTCTGGTTATTAGCAGAGAACACATAGCAGAACTTGAATTTCGGCGCGGGATTGCGGCTATTAAAGGTGACATATCATGAAAATCTGACTTTTCCAGGTTTTAAGTGCTATAATCAGGTCCCCGGTGCATCTACCAACCAAGGAAACGTGAAAAAGAATAAACCAGTAACTTTGTTTTGGTAAGCCTTTTTCTGCAAGCGTTTGAGAAAACGAGCGCGTCTGATTTCGCTCCCTTGGTGACGTGGCAAAGGGATCTCATTATAATATTACCGCCCCTTAATCTGTATCCACCCATGGCGCCGTCATTTGATTTCGCAAGCGACAACGGGGTATGTACCAGTTCTAATGCCATGGTGAAAGTTTGAGCAAAACATGCTAACTGTTCTGTCTTTGGCTGCACAGACGAGCACAGAACACTATTTAGAGTCCCAGCCTCAGAGGAGACAAGAGAGCAGTGGATTTATTGATTTATTTAATGTACAGTATATTGCTGCTGCCACACAGATCTAAAATAAACATGCAATTTATATCCCAGCTGTTTACCTTCACAGACATAACTCATGTGTGTTCTTAACGTAAATTTGTATGTGAATGAGATCTTAGTTTAGTACTCAAATGCTGTGACAGCCGCTTTCTGTCCGTGTGCTTCGGATATGTGCGCTCAGAAAACCGTATATCAGAAGTTTAAACTCATATGGTTTAAAATGCATGATTTCAGCGCGATAAACATGATAATCAGAACCAAAACAGATTTTTTTAGCAGGTACGAGCTGTAATGGCGCAGCTCTATTCTGGAAAGGGGCTCATTTGCATTTAAAGAGACAGGCCCAAAAAACAGCGTGTTTCTGCTTCCACTCAAAATAGGCATTTTCAAAATTATATTATAAATGATCTGTGGAGTATTTTGAGCTGAAACTTCACAGACACATTCTGGGGACACCAGAGACTTACATTACATATTGTAAAAAGGGGCATAATATGTCTCCTTTAATAATAATTCTACTCATTCCCACAGTTGAATTCTGCGTTTACAACGCGATGACAGATGACGGAATGTATTATTTGCACATGCTTTTGAGTCTTGCTTACTTAAAGTGAAAGAGAACTCGCTCGCACGCTCTCTTATAGACCATTTTCTTTGCACCCACAGATCGCGATAAACTGAGAGTGACAGCTTTTAAAGATTATTAAGGGAGTTTGCAAATGTGATATTGATTTAATACAACAGTTCAATAAACAAGAAGTTAATATTGTGACTTACGTTGTCTGACTATAACACTACTGCCTGATTTTGCTCTATTTTTTCAACAAAAATAGTTCCAAATAAAGTAACCGCTCAGCCGCTAGTCATCTCTAAAAGCAAACACAGCGGTGTTTCATTCAAAGTGCGTTTAAACGAATCTAGTGAGTCAGTGATTCATGATTACCCATTCATAAAGTCACTTGCTTCATTCCTGAATGAATCAGCTCTTCGAGCGAATCAATTAAATGAATGATTCCATGATAAAATAAGTGACTTGCCGCCACCTGCTGGTGGATTTAGTTTCATTTTTAACACATAATTTCAGTTATTTAAAGGGGGTCATATTATGCGATTTCAAGTTTTCCTTTCTCTTTGGAGTTGTTTGTGAATAGATAAGATCCCTAAAGTTGCAAAGACTAAAGTCTCAAACCTCTGAGCCTCATTAAACGTCTGAAAATGTACCTACAAGCCACTTTTGTGTTCGTCTGTGTCACCTGTAGTACAAATTATTTTTTAAATAATATTAATTTCATATGATTGGCAACTTATTTGTCTTATTCTACTTCTTATATTGATTTAATTAGAAATGTTAAAAAGCTTTTAAACATACATTTTTGAATTTGACATAGATAATGACATACTTTTAATAAAATTAGAAAAATGCCATTACACAGCTAAAAAGAAAATGCCCCGTAAATCACTTTAAGGAGGTAAATATCACCTCGTATTAGGAAGGCTAATTTTTGATCAGAATTTGATTATTGATCAGAAGGTGCTCCTAAATTTTTTTAATTAGGAGGACAAGCGCTCCTAATTACAAGAAGAAGAAAAAACTGCTCTTAAACTGGGTGTATGGCAGGTATGGCTGTGGAATGGGGTTTGGCCGAGGAAAAATTCAGTCAAAAGATTTTTTTTTGCTTTAACCCCTGTTACATCATGCAACATAAGTGATCCATCCTACATAAGCAGTAACTTAAAAAGTGCTGTGAAACAAAGTTCCTGAATTGCACGGAAAAGTAACTGTGAAAGTTTCCCCTGCAACCACATTATAAAACTACATACAAACTTTTTTTAAAGCTACATTATTCACTATTATTATAAACTGTCATTATTAAGCAAAGATTGAGGGTTTGTTTGCAGTTTTTACACTTTTTTTTTTTTTACACAATTCAAACAAATTAAAATTAATTGCCAGTAATTGACACACTTCTTGTGCAGTTTAAAAACTATTTAAAAAGTATTTACCCTACCTTTGGTCCCTGCTTTTAAGTCTATTCAGTGATATCTGAATAGACTAGATGTCTATTCCGATGTATATTCACATGTATTGTATTCTAGTGTTGTATTAGGCTAATCACTGTTCATATTTAGCCTTCAGTCTAATAGATTTATTCAGTGCTCTATTGCTAAGCACTGCTTCTCTTCTGCTTATTGACAAACCTGCAAAGCCCAATTAGGGAACAGCATTTTTTAAATGTATTTAAATGTTGTCCTAGTAAGAAACTAATCTTTCTCATAAGTTCAGCACAGATATTTTTAGCGGCATGTTTTGAGCGAAGAGTGATGCCAGACGGTACTGTGCAAGTCAGCTATTCATTTGGTCTTTGAATTATCAGATATTTCAGGCCACTCCAGTTAAGTGTATTTAAAGAGTGCTTTCAAGCACACTTCTTTCAAAAAGTAAGTCTACTTCAACCTAAACATTGAGTTTGACCGTTTAACCCATTGGCATGCTGAATGGCGTGTCTGGTGAAAACTTTCACTCTCTTGAGACTCTGCGCTTGCTGCTTGTTCAGTGTTTTTACCTTTACAAATTGCTAATCTTGTTTATTGTGTGACTGAAATTATATATAATACATTATTGTAGAGGAAATCTTAACATGGTTGACACCGGATCATTAACACAGTTGACCTTTGAGTTAATGTTACTGTTGTTTCACCCTCAGTTCATCTAAATTCATTTTCTAAATTCATCTAATAGATCTTAATGTGAACAATTATTTGTTTGCATATGTTCCCATTTAAAAAAAATATATAGTTTTGCATCATATTGTTTACTCTAATTGTCATAATGGGATCAAATAAGTACCCATCCTACTTTTTTCACAATAATCTGTTACACTCTGATGTACATCAGAGATTGCGTTTCATCTCGACTTTAAAGTCTAGTCCAAGACAAGCTGCTCTGAATATACAAGTACCATTCAGTGGCAAACTTTTGTTTTTATTTTAAAGAACTGACCTTTTAAGATGCTATTTTTATTTTTATTTTTTATAATGCAATATTTTTAGTTTCACATTAGCTTTATTGGGATGTCCATGGTCCTTAAACTCTTTTGCCCTTGAATATTGTTTGTTAGTTGAATTAATCAGACTGTAGAGTACTTTAGTTGAAGGATGTTCAGTAAGTCTGTGAATTTCTTGTCTTGTCTGGATCAGTTCCTCCTCTCATTGCCCTCCCTCACCATCCTCCTATGTTTCAGGTAACGGAGGTCCAGGACTGGAGTGCTTCCAGCCCCCACAGCGCAGCCTACGTCCTCTGGGACAACGGGGCCAAGAACCTCTACAGAGTGGGATTCGAGGGCATGGTAAGCCACCCCCATCACTATGCACATACACAAAAGACTGCAGTTAACTGGCCTTTGTGTTGCTACCCACCCCCCTACACACGCACTGCACCACACATAGTCTAGTCATCCCATAAGCTGGGCTTCTTTATAAGAGCCATGTGCAGGGCAGCCATTGTGAGGGGCAGCTGGATGAGCTATCTGCATGATAAAAGAAATCTGTTCCCTTTCTGTCTCTTCACAAGAGAGCGAAATTCAACATGAAGACCAAAGGCGAAGAGAGCAGGGGGTGTGGTCTGCAGAAAGCGTGCCTCCGTTATTGAAGTGCTAGGCCGTCCGTTGATTGGCTGTTAGACGTTCTGCGACGTCTGAATTTCAGCCAATCATTTTGTGGCTGGGCAACGGCTTTTGTCTGTGATTGCAGTATATCTGGAGGGTGTGCGCAGCCATCTGCCACTGGAATTATTAATTAGATTTGGATAAAGAGAAGGAAATGCAGACAACTGTATCAGTTTCGCTGCTTAGGCTTTTGTGATTAGGCACTCAAAATATTTTTTTAACAAATCTGTTATAATTAATTGTCTTTTTTTTCTTTTTTAGTCTGATTTGAAGTGTGTGCAAGATGCCAAAGGTGGCACTTTTTACAGAGACCACTGTCCAGTGTTGGGTAAGCTTTCCATGTCATACTAGTAGACTAATAATATTTACATGAACTTAGTTGATTTATAGAAGCCTCATAGGTCAAGTGAAGTCCTCTACTCCATTTTAACAGAGTGTATTGAATAATATGCCTCCACTAGGTGTCAGCACTAGATGGTATAGTCAGGCTGATCTTCAGACATGCATAGCTACAATGACACATTCCTGTTTAAAAGCTCTTTTGGCCCCAATTCATAATTGACTCTTTGCTATCCAAACCAATACAATAAGGTTCTATTCAAGAATGGTCAACTCAAATTAATTACTCTTGAAACCTTAAGAAATGGTCCCACAAAGCGCAACGTCTTGTGCTTTCCAATTTACAGGGTCCCTACGCAGTGTTCACTGCTCCATACTCACTGAGCAAGGGCTATCTGTTGAAGTTCACTTAACTCTACCAAAATGCATTTGGAATGCACTGCAATGCAGACAAATGCATACAATACTTGAGTAAAGAATATTAAAGGAATTTGGTGTGTGATAAATATGTATGATATAAATTTATATTTACAGGGTTTGTACAAGGTGCTTAAAGCCTTGTCAGTTTAAAAATTCAAGCAGTGTTAAACCATTCAAGTGCAAGAAGCAAAAGAAAATTAAATTCGGCACTCGCACACTGCTTTCTGTGCGCATACAGACAGCCACATTTCAGTCAGCACGTGAACACCGAAATGTCTTTTGTGTCGTCTTGCGCTATTGCTTGTAATTTGTTTGTTCTTATTTTATTACTGACTGTTTGATTGTCAGTGAAAATTTTAGCAGGGCAAGTGAAATATTGAACCACTGGCCTGATTGTAGTCCTTGAAAACTTCCCAAAGTAATGCATGAAAAGTCATTGAAAGTCCTGGAATTTTATTATATAATATCTGTACAAGCCCTGTATTTATTAACACATGTATATAATACAACCATTTGTATTTATATAAAATGTCATTTTATAAATGTAAGTAATATAGTCAGGTAATATAAAAAAAAAATTTTTTTTTGAGTGATAACATACATCTATGCATTAAATTGGCAGGCACTTTTATGATTGCATTTAAAGTATACTAGGGTGACCATACGTGCCATTTTTCCCGGACGCATCCTGGCCAGGATTTCTATATTGCCTAAAATATCTAGGGGTTTGGCTTTGTTTGCGTGTGCAGACCGATCGGTGTATGACATCGGTTCCTTATGTTTTCGAAACGCTCTCGAGGTACTTTGAATCAAAGCAATATAGAAATCCTGGCCAGGACGCGTCCGGGAAGAATGGCACGTATGGTCACCCTAAAGTATACATCTTTGGGAATCAAACCCATGATACAAACCTTGGTTGCTAGCACCCTGCTTGCCCTGTATGTAACTCGTAATCATGATAATTACATTGTAACTTGCATGCTTTTTGCCCACATGCAACAATGTATAAACCACAAATGAGACTAATTAAATGTAATACAAGCACATTTATTGTAATCCAGGGCTGAGCAACTTCGGTCCTGGAGGGCCACTGTCCTACAGAGTTTAGCTCCAACCCTAATTAAACACACCTGCCTGTAGCTTTCTAATGATCTTGAAGACAAATTAATTAGCTTGTTCAGGTGTGTTTAATTAGGGTTGGAGATAAACTCTGCAGACCAGTGGCCCTCCAGGGGCCCGTTCCAGAAAGGAGGTTAAGTGAAAACTCTGAGTATGTTAAACCAGAAATGAGGGAAACTCTGGGTTTTCCGTTTCAGAATGGAAGGTATGTCAAACCCGAGAAAGCAGGGTAAGTCAAGCCCGTTTCTGAAAGGGAGGTAACTTATACTCAGAGTCAGTTGCCTGGTAGGCAACTGGTCAGGAGCAGGTTTTCTTCGGTAAACCCAGAGTTTCTTTCGGTCTCCTCCCCCTTTTTAAAGCGCAAACGATGTTAAATACTTCATTCATTCATTCATGCACGCTGCAAAAATGCTTTTCTTACTAAGTATTTTTTCTTATTTCAAGTATAAATATAAAAAAATTCTTAAATCAAGATTGATTTTCTATATAAAAAATTGATATAAGATATTTGTTTCCTGGGGGGATCTAAATTAAGTGCATTTTACTTAAAATTAAGTAAAATTATCTGCCAGTGTGGTAATAAAAATAATGCAAATGTCTTAATGCAAATGGAAAGCAAGATTATTCGGAGTGTCTATTACTAAGTGCAAATTTACAGTAGCTCCGCTCTCCAATGTCACACAAGGTTAAATACGATGCGTGTGAATAACGGCTTCAGTGGTGTAGGCAGTAATGCGTTGGGCGCGGAGAACTAGCTTGTGACGCGATTGACCGGATTCGAGTCCGGCTTTTGCCGAGTTCGTTCTTCTCACTTTTCCCATCACATATCACATTAGAATTTATTTTCAATAAAAATGAAGAAAATGTTCTAAAAGTG